ATTTTTCACATATTGATATTTTTGCTTTATCACTTAACGCATTTCGAAACCAATCAATCCTTGTTTTTATTTCGAATTAAATACGAAGTTTTTGTTATCGCAGCAATTAAGTACTGCAGTATTAGATTTTTTTTTTCTCTTTTTCTCTTGCTCTTTTTGGGTTTACTGAATAATAGTTTTAGTTTTATTGTCTTGAATTTAAGATAAATGTAATATCTATAGTGTACTCTTGTAAATTGTGATGTTAATTCATCATGTTAGGGTACCTTTTGTAATAAATAAATAAATAAATAAATAAATAAATAAATAAATCATTCCTAAAAAATATTTTCTCTGAAATGCGCAAAAATCCTTTGGAATCCCCAAAAATCTGTTAAAGTCTCTCAGAATTCCATAATTTAGTGGAATTTCGAAGAATTTCGGTAGAATTATGTTATTCTAACAAAGGAATTACATGTGAAATCTTTGCGGAGTTTCTATAGAATTCACATTAAATTTTAGTTCCTTTCGAATTACATGAAATTTCAGTGAAATTCCGATCGAATTACCTACACGAAATCCTAAAGGAATTGCATGGAGGAATTCTAAACAATTATATGAAATTACACCGAAATTCCCAACATGATATTTCAGTTCTTACTGAATTTTATTAAAATTCCAGAAAATTCCACAAGTGTAATGCCGAGGAATTTCCGGCTAAAAACATGGAATTTCGGTGATATCCCGAAAAATTCCCATGTAATGACATGAAATTCCAATATATTTCGATGAATTTTTCAAGAAATTACTTGAAGTTTCATTAATATTCCCAGAAATTCCTGGCTATTAAAAGAGAATTTGAGTGAAATTCTGAAAAATTCTTATGAAAATAAATGAAATTTTGAAAAATTCCTTGAAGTTTGATTGGACTTTCGAGAAATCTTTAACTATGAACGTGGAATTTCAAAATATTCTTATAAAATTTTAGTGACTTCCGAGGAATTTTTAAGAAATTACATGAAATGTCAATGAAATCCGAAGAATTTTATGAAAATTACGTGGAATTCCAGGATATTTCAGTGGTGAAATTTTGGAGAAATTCAGTGAAGTTGAAGAAAAATTATGGAATTTTGAAATTGAAATTTTAGTGAAATTCTGAGGAATTTCTAAAAATCCTTATACTGTAATTCCGAAAAAAATTTGTCTTAGAATTCCATAAAATCTTCTGGTTAAGGAATTTCTATGGAATTACTTAATATTTTCGCGGAATTCCTATGGTACCTATTACTTGAAATTTTAGTGGAATTCCGAAGAATTTCATGAAATTTCATAGTGTAGGTAATAGGCTCGTTCAGTGAAGTTTCATTAACTACGTTTTTTGATATTTTTATGGAGTATTACTTACATATAGCACACAAAAAAAAATCAGCTCAATTGGATAAATATTAAAAAAGTTATGCGGCTTTGAATATTAAAACATTAGGCCTCAGAAATTCATCGCTGAGAGATGGTATGACGTCATCTCTCGAGTCAAGATGCGCTAAAGGCAGTCACACGATCAACGTGAGAGATGCAGTGACGTCACCGCGTGTTTCAAAACTTTCAAATTTGGATCGTTTTGATAATTTATTTAAATATGAACAAGGGCTCAGAAAATTATGAAATTTTGTACAACTGCTAAACTCAATACGCTCTTTAAAAATATGTAATAAAAAAAATATGCTGTACGAGCCTATTCCGAGGAATTTTTGTTCAAGAATTCCATTGAATTTTATTGTGGAATTCCATGAAATCCTATGGTGAAATTTGAAAAAATATTACGAAATCTTATAAATAGTAAAATTTTAGGAATTTCCTTTTTATCGAGGAATTCCAGAAAATCTTCTGGTGAAATTCTAAGGAATTTCTATGAAATTAACTAAAATTTTCACGAAATTTCCATGGTATAACTTGAAATTTCAATGGCATTCCGAAGAATTTCATGAAATCTTATGTGTAATTCCGAGGAATTTTTCTGCAAGAATTCCATCAAATTTTATGGTGGAATTCCATAGAATCTTATGATGAAATTCGGAAAAGTATTATAAAATCCCATAGTAAAATTTCTAGGAATTTACGTGTTTCCATTCAAATTTATTACTTGAATGGAATTTTGAGGAATTCCATAAAATCTTCTGGTGAAATTCTAAGGAATTTCTATGGAATTGACTAAAATTTTCGCGGAATTCTTATGGGATAACTTGAAATTTTAGTGGAATTCCGAAGAATTTCATGAAATCTTACATTGTAATGCCGAAGAAAAAAAAATTCCAAGAATTCCATTGAATTTCTCGGTGTAAAATGTGACATTTGAAATTTTTGCGGAGTTTCCATAGAAATCACAATAAATTTTACTTCCTCTCGAATTACATGAAATTACGAGAAATTACATGAAATTTCAGTGGAATTTCGATCGAATTACATGAAATCCTGAGTGAGTTGCATGGAGGAATTCTAAACAATTACATTGAATTACACCGAAATTCTCAACATGAAATTTCAGTGCTCGTTAAATTACATAAAGAATTTTAAAAAAGTTTCAAGAAATTACATGATTTCCAAGGAATTGTCAGGAAATTACATGAAATTTTAGTGGAATTTTGAACAACTCATCGTTTCATAAGGATTCCAGTGAAATTCCGAAAAATTTTATGAAAATTTTGTGGTCCAGGATATTTCAGTGGTGAAGTTTAGGGGAATTTCAGTAAAGTTTTAAAAAAATTATGGAATTTGGAATTTCTGTAGAATTTTAGAGAAATTCAGTCTGATTTCGAAAAGAAGAAAAAAAATTATGAAATATTCGCAGAATTTTCATCAAATTATATATAATTTCACTTTGTGTCGACTTACCTAAAATTTCGATGAAATGTCGAGTAAAATTCCAAGGAATTCTCGTCGAATTACATAGGTACATGGAATTCCTTGAAATCTTATTGTGGAATTCCAGTAAAATTACATGGAATCCGAAGAATTCCCTTGGAATTAAACAGAATTTACGTGGTATTTCTATAGAACCACAAAAAATTTCCACGGAATTTCGAAGAATTGAAGTAAATTTTAGTGAAATTCTGAGTAATTTCTGTCGAATTACATAAAATTTTAGTGGAATTCCGAGAAATTTCATTAAATCATTTACTGTAATTCCGAGGAATTTTTGTACAAGAATTTCATTGAATTTTATGGTGAAATTTCATGGAATCTTATGATGAAATTCGGAAAAGTATTATGAAATCTTATGGTAAAATTTCTAGGACTTTCTGTTTTTCTATTCAAATTTATAATTTGAATGGAATTTCGAGGAATTTTATAAAATCTTTTAGTGAAATTCTAAGGAATTTCTATGGAATTAACAAAAATTTTCGCAGAATTCCCATGGAATAACTTGAAATTTTAGTGGAATGCCAAAGAATTACATAAAATCTCATAAGTAGTGTAATTCCGAGGAATTTTTATCCAAGAATTCTATTGAATTTTATGGTGGAATTCCATAGAATCATATGATGAAATTCGGAAATGTATTATGAAATTCTAAAGTACAATGTCTAGGAATTTCCGTTTTTCCATTCAAATTTGTCATTTGAATTTAGAATATCTAGAAACTTTTCAAAAACCCCTAAAATGCTCCAGAATCACCTAAAATCTTGAAAATCTGAAATCTTCTGAACTCCTGTAAAATCGTGTAAAGATTTTCAAAATTCCCAAAATCCTACAAAATCAATTAAGATTTCAAATATGTGTTCATTATTTTATAGAGTTATCTAAATCTCGGAGTGGTTGATTGGTCAAAATCTGTGTACAAGTCCAGGAAAACTTGTAAGATATAGGTATTTAAAATCCCTGAAAATCTTTAAAAAATTAACAAAACCTCACCTTAAAAATAACTTGAAATCGCATAAAATTTCACAAAATCAGACAAAATTTTATTAGAACAAAAAAAATTCGGCAAAATCTTATTATCATTAATATGTATTCCTAAAAAAAAAAATCCCTCAAAATTTCCATTAGGATCTCTAAAAACCCTTCTAACTTCCCTAAAATGCTCCAAAATCACTTAAAATCTTTTAAATCCTGTAAAATCATGAGAAGATTTTCAAAATCCTCAAAATCCTACAAAATCAATGAAGATTTAAAATCTGTGTACATATTTTAAGGAGTTAACCACCCCTGGAGGAACTCTTTGAAACCATAAGGCACAGAAATGTATCCTGCAAGGCAAAATTGAAGGAGGAAGGAGGCGGATATGAAGAAAGAAGCTATCCTGGCTATAGAATGTACGGGCTGTAGGCAGTGGAGAGGAATACAGGAATACGAATCCAGACGCTACAAACCGCTGCATTTGATAGAAATATTTGATAGCAAAAACGATTAACGTCTACGCAGGAATCTGTATGACACTTCAAGAAGAAGAAGAGATTAACTGACATTTTTTCTTCAATGGTATTTCGGTCTTTTTTATTCACATAGGAGTTATTGAAATAGATTTTTCTATAGCCTTATACAAACTTCATACCTACCTACTAAATTTTTCTAAAAACAAATTCAGTCTAAATGTCAACACAACGAGCAACACAATTAATAATACACAACTGCAATATCTAGCAATTAAGTATTTATCTTAAGAACTTAATTAATTACCATTTAAGTATCTCAAGGAACATAAAACAATTTATATGAAACAAATATATATTTTCTTAATGTTTGCGGTACATTTTCTCAATGTTAAGACATACAGTAATCAACAATATGGCTTCATGGTCAATTATAATCAAAAGAAAACCTTTAAAAATAATGTTTTCGAATAGTTTAGCTGAATTAAAATATGTACTTCAATTAAAATCATTTCCTGCATTAAGCATTGGTAAATCATACCAGCCTTGATAAGTTGGAAACTCATTTGAAAATTTGCCGGAAATATTCAAGAAAAAATGCACCATTAATTTAAGGTTACCGCCGTTTATCTTCTATAATTTTTTGTTCCTTACCTGAATAGGAAGATCTAGAAGTCTCCAACAATTTGAATGTAAAAGGAATGTGAACTTTCATCATATTCATCTGAGGTATTCTGGGTTGCATTGGATGATGGAGTGATGTAGGAAAAATAAATTCTTCGCCGTGTACTCTCAGTACCACCATATTCCTGTAAAAAAAATACAAATTTAAATAACATTTTGCTGTTCAGGAAGAATGTATTTATGCAATAATTCACTATCACAATTAACATTTAGAATGATGATTGCACATTGGATTTAAAATTCTCTCAAATGTCCAAGATTGAACACATAAAAACCAAATTTTGCATAAGAAAGTTTAATCTAAAACGTTTTCAATTCAAAAATTGTGCAAATTCAAAGAACCAGTCTCATAAAGTGATAGTTGTTTGGGTCCATATACCTAGACTTCTTAACGAATTTTGGGTTCGAAGTATTTAAAATATGACAATGTAGGTATGTACTCGGGTATGTAGGTGCACAATTGCGTGAAGTTGAACGAATACTCTTCAATTCTAATTGCCGATAAGTTGAAAAAAATAGTTAACAGTTAGCATTATAGTTGATTAAATCTTTTGGTTTAATTTTGTGGTTATGGATTATAGAACCACTTAAATCTTGCTTTAATTTAAAACTGTATTTGTTTTTCTTACACGAATTGTGAGAAAATAATTTTCAATTGTATATGATTAATTATGGATACCTACCTACACATTTAGGTGTTCATTCATTTGCAAATATATATTTTTTTTTTTATTTAAATTTGACTCCATAATGACTGATTTAATTTCAAACTGAACAAAGGATACAAGAAAATTGACGACAGTTGGCTCATTATTATTCCCGATCAATGATCTTATGAAGGAGCTTGCAAATTGGCAAAATGTTCTGCCTCATATAGGTAGTATATGAAGGAGATTACACGTGGCAAATAAAAAAAGTATGGGTTGAAAACCTATAGGTATTTCAAAATCTATGACAGTAACCCTTTTTCATATTGCAATAAAACGTAATATTGCATCAAAACGCATCAAAAGTTATGAAGCAACAGAACAAAAATACTTAAGTAAAAAAAGTAAACCGAGTATGATCTTGCAAAAACAAATGTTGCATAATGCTTTCCTTATTTATTCTTACATTTTATTAACAAAATAATTGTCACCGGTTTACTTATTCATTGCGGAATAAAATCGGGTGCACGCTGAAAAATTTGTTGTCATCATTATATACAAATTATTAATTGACAAGAATATATAACATTTTTTTAATCTAATTTAGTTTCCTAGATATCAGTTCATCGGTGGGATATAGTTTTGTTTTTTAAATTAATTTTTATAAAATTTATTTTTGAGTTTATTGTTGTGTTGCACCTTTTTTTGAATTTTTTTTTTCGATTTCAGAGTCTTGCAAAATATAGAAAATAAAGTGCACTTTTAGTAACTGCCCCTATTTATTCCACCTGATTTGCTTCAACCCATAAATTAATAGTTAATTTAGTAATATTCGTATAATTAAACCATCTTACCAACTGTAAACATGGCAAAGCTAATTTAATTTAAAAAAGGTTAATTAGGAGTTAATTAGATTGATTTTTCATCGTATTTTTCCATTGGATTTTTCTCAATTTACCATTTTAGATTGTGATTATTTAAAAGAGGTAATTATGTATTAGTTTTATTTATGGAAGTGTTTTTTTTTTCAAATTTTTTCAAATAGAAACTGCTAGATTTGGGATAGCGCATAGAATTTTTGGCTTTTATCATATTAGTTAATAAGGATTTTTGGGCTCCTCTACTTTTCTCAAAAAATCGAGGGTGTTGAATTCAAGAATGGTACCACAGAATCATTTGCACCAAAAACCACGGATTAACTGTTTTTTAAATGGAACAAACACCGTGTTTTTTGTAAGAATTTTTGGAAAAGTAGCATTTTTTACGTTCATTCTTGTTCTCGATTCTGTTGAAAATATTTGATTTTCTACTTTCGCTCACTTCAAAGTCAAAAGAAACTTGTCATATTTTGTACTTTGTCGCCATGAAATACCTACTTGTTATAGAAGAAAGATTACAGATTGTTACTTTCCATTACAAAAGTCAAGAAAATGCAGAAGAAGCAAGAAGATTTATTCCAAAGGACCCCGCAATATTTAAATGGAAATTGGTTACCCGTGATATTTGGATGAAATTTAAATATGTTATTGGGGATGCCGGAAGCAACATTTTTTACCATGGGCACAACCCTGTATATATGACAGGTGAGGCGTGGTTAGCTGTCAAATATTGGAATCTTATATCCAAAAGCAGAGTAACTATGGCAGATTTCGATGAACAAAAAATCTATTTCTACTAAGTCGACCAAGTTAAGTCGAAAAATGTCAACCATTTTGACACCTGCCAAAACCCTGTCAAACGGCGGCACTCATCTTTTCCAGTTTTCAATATTTCATGATGTAATTTGACACTTTTAACTTGTATGTAAATTCTGATTTCAAAAATTGAAAAAAAAAATACAGAACTGTCAAAACCTGTCATTTGTTTTAGTAGAAAAAAATACTCTAATCTGATTCTTTTTTGTTTCAAGGTAGTTTATTGGTGATAAAACATTAAACAAAGTTCATGCATGTCACATTTTGACAACTGTCAGAATCTGTTTTTGTTTTTTGGTTCATATTGAGTTTGTTTGCTTAGTGAAGTTCTACAACTATAATGATAGAATAATACAATAGAACTAAACCTTCACTAAGCAAACAAACTCAATATGAACCAAAAATCTATTAACAGATTCTGACAGTTGTCAAAATGTGACATGCATGAACTTTGTTTAATGTTTTATCACCGCTAAACTACCTTGAAACAAAAAAGAACCAGATTAGAGTATTTTTTTCTACTAAAACAAATGACAGGTTTTGACAGTTCTGTCATTTTTTTTTCAATTTTTGAATTCAGAATTTACATACAAGCTAAAAATGTGAAATGAAATTATGAAATATTGAAAACGGAAAAAGATCAGTGCTGCCGTTTAGCAGGGTTTTGACAGGTGTCAAAATGGTTGACATTTTTCGACTTGACTTGGTCGACTTAGTAGACATACTTCGATCATCAAAATCTGCCATAGTCACTCTTCTTTTGGATATAAAATATAAGATTCCAATATTTGACAGCTAACCACGCCTCACCTGTCATATATACAGGGTTGTGCCCATGGTAAAAAATGTTGCTTACGGCATCCCCAATGACATATTTAAATTTTATCCAAATATCACGGTTAACCAATTTCCATTTAAATATTGCGGGGTCCTTTTCTAAGAAATATATCCGTAGATACAATTTTAAGCATACAGAATATATTTCAAGAAAATAAGTCTTCACATGACAAAAGAAGAAGCAGATATCGAGACCAACTCATTTTAAATTATTTTAGAGTGAATCCTACCAAATCAGTTTTGGATGCAATTTACGCTATTCATCTTCGACAAAGAGTAAGCTAGGGAACCATTCACAGATCCTTAAAATTTTATAAATTTAAACCGTTCCATATTCTCTTTAGCAGTTAAAAGCCGCACAAAAATAACTTCGCTTTCAGTACGTTTCCCAAATTGTAATTTGGCAACAAGACAATGACCCTAATTTATTCATCAAAATTGTATCCGGACAGACGAGGCAGCATTTACCACATTAGGCTTATTTAATCAACACAACACTCATCACCGGCTGGACTGTAGAAAACCCAAGAAAATTTCAAATAGATAAATTGGCAACAAGATGGAGCTTCTTCGCATGCCTTGCATGATGTCGTTCAATTCTTAAAAACCAATGCAATACTGAATGGATTGGACGTAATGACACAATTTTTTGGCCACCCAATAGCACTGACGTCTCAATTTTGGAAAATACGTTTCTTTGGGGTCATCTAAAGAAAGTAACAAACCAACAAAGAAACTAAAATATTGAAGAAGTCATGGAAAAAATTGTTATTGATATACACTGAATTAGGTAATCAGGAAAATGACATTTAAAACAGCAAGTTTTAGACAGGCTTCAAAGAGGCTATCGATGTTTTTTCGAGAACAAAGGGGTCCTATTGAACACCTAAATTATAAGTATTTTTGTTTTATCAGTTTAGGTATAAGTATCGTTTTTTTGACATGTAAAGGCTAAATAGATTTTTTATCCTTAAAATTGTATTTACAGATATATTTCTTTGAAAATTTGTAAATCTACTTCTTACTTCTCTTGCATTTCTTGGCTTTTGTATTATACAATAAAGTAACAATCTGTTATCTGTCTTTCTAACGAGTATTTTATGAAGACAAGTACAAGATACCTACGTCAAATTTATTTTCACTTTGAAGTGAACGAAAGGTGATTATCTATACCTTGATCACCTAATATTATTAAGGATGAAACATTGAAATAAAATAAAAATAGATATCGGAATATCAAATATTTTCGACAGAATAGATGTAAAAAAGACGAATTTTATCGAAATAATCCCCTGTTCAGTCCTCCTTGAAACACACTGTACCGGGCACTGTACCTACACCTATAAAAAAAATACTACGTCAAGCTCCACCAATGTCTCAGAAAATATAGACATTTTCGAAATTGCCCTGTAGTTGTTACCACTCTTAAAAATAGGAATTACAAAACTAGTTTCCCAAATTGTGGAAAAAATTCCTGCAGATAACGATCTATTATATGTCGGTTTTACAGAAAATGTAATAAAACAAGTTTATATGCTTTTCGAGATGCTTTTTAATGATATTAATAAGGGATATCATCTGGACCTGTTCCTAAGCATAATTTCCTTATAAAGTTATCTTTCAGCTGGCTTGTATAATATCCAATAAACAATGATCCTAAATAAACAGTTACATCCGAGGTTACATCACAATAGTAAAATTGTTTAAATCGTTATACCTATTCTTTATTATATACAGAGTTAACATTATCTTTGAAAAGCTCTACAATTTCCGCAGGTGAATCTGATTTCTGATCTTTAAATGTCATACAGCTGGAAAAACCTTTGAAATCTTTTCTAGATCTTATGTAACTCCAAAAACCAAATCCAAGTAGTTTTGATCAAGGTTTTGATGCCCAATGGGGCCATATTGCACAGGTAGCTGTGAGAATATATGGTAATCCTCGAG